CTGCGCGCGCGCTACCACCCTAGATGTGCTCAGGTGCAAGCCAAGTGGATACAGCGACGGATTCAGCGAAACAGACGATCCTTGTCAACCGTGCACGCCAACTCGCTCAGTCTTGTTTCCCGCGGAGGAAACTTCCGGCGACCGTGGGGCCCGCTTGTGCTTCCGTTGATACGATTTCGCGGGGGTACAGAACGCGATTCCACCCCTCGGTCATCGGACTGTGGAACTCTTTCGAGTCTGGTTCTATTTAGGTCGAGCTACGAAAGTATTCGAACGGTTTCGAATCGAGCCTTTGCACTCGAAGCCATTTTAACACTAAATCCAAAATATTTTTTCATTTGATAACAGTTTGCGCCTTTTATACACAGAGGATCGAGTCTCGCGAGTCGTACAACACAGTTACACTCTTTTAATAGAATTTTATAATATATATATATATAGCAGTAGCATCGATTCAAAATAAAGAGAAAGGAAGAGGTATTGGAAGCCATTTCTTCGGCATTTGAATAAACATCGATCAACGATATTTTTTTTATAGTACTTTCTTCGCAATAGTTCCACGTTTTATATTGTTGCGTATTTCTACGTTATGATGCTGTAAAATATATCACGCTCAGTTACATTTTTACCTGTTTTTTTTATTATTACAATAAACCTCAACACTCGTTGGGAGGTTTTAGCTGTTTATATTTCGTCTTGCACTTTCCTTTCTCCATTCGGACGAAAGTAGCTCGTATAGCATTAAAAAATTCAGTGGAACGAAATGCAATCATTCTGTGTCCATGAAAAAAAAAAACACAAAGTTTGCCTATACGACGTTAATGACGTTTGAATTTTACTTTTAATTTAAGGAAATCTTGCACGGAATAATAAGAAAAAGGTTTAAAAAGTCTGACGGATAAAAGAAAGCAGTCTATTTAGTCTTATTTATTATGATTCGAACACGAGTACATTAATTTAATAATTAATTCAATAATTATGAGGAATTGAAATGAGTCATTTTGAATAACCTGACAGTTTTAGCGTTAAATGGGACTAGCAAATAAAGAAACGATATAGTACGGTATTCTTCCAAATGAATAATTCTCGGAGAGTTACTCCAGCTTATACTCCAGCTTCCCTTAATGATGTTGATCTTGAATTGCGGACGATCACCACGTTCGGCAGATTCTTTTTGCTGACTTTTCACAGTTTCAGTATGTCAACCTGCTGCTGATGAGGCAGACTGCAATGTTTGCGAAACCGAGAGGAATCTTCGAGAACCCAGAAATCAGGGCCCGCAAGCCAAGACCAATACAAAATTCTTTCTCCTAGCCGACAGCCGTTTCTTCGATCCGGCGAAAACGAGGACGAGACAAAATCAGCGGCGGTGAAAGCAAAAGGAAGTCTCGAGCATCGGTCAATCGGCTAACGCAAACCTCGAACACTCTATTCTAGTAACAATTCAAATACTCTACTCATTTTCCGAGTCCTATAGCGCGTTGTGCCATTAATTTAAGAGGGGACACCGTCGCGTATATAACGGTTAACAAAAATCGATTCTCTTTTATTCTCTCAACGCTTCGCACTCGAGTGGCGACTCTAAGGTGTCAAAATAATGTCAACATTATCAAATCTCCTCTTTATGTTTAAAAAAACTAGCGTTAAAAGCGCTACTATTGCGAAAAATGCACCGGGTTGTATAAAATGGAAATATTGTAGGTCGGAGAAAATATTTTAAATTTTGAGTTCATTTGGCTTCAGTGCAAAGGGATAAATCAATTGTAAGAAGCAGGAATCGAATAAAAATGTGTTTCCCCTTTTAATACGAGGAGAAATAAATAACAACCACAGTTCAGCGACGACTAACTGAAGTTAGTCGACTGTTACCAAGATACAATTATTAACCCTAATTGTAATAATTCCCCCACAAATTGCAATTATTAGTTGACATTCCAAACGGCTAAAAATAAGTCCATATAATACAACGGCGATGTCTAGGTGAAATTATGCGCGATGACCAATTTGTTCCGTCCGGATCGGCGTTACCGCAATTTTGACCGCGTGTTCGTAATTAAACGAACTAAAACTGGATAATTGATTAGGCGCGGGCAGGGACAGAGGATTGGCAATATTGGCTGTCAGTTGAATGTATCGGCGCATAAATCGAACGAATATCCGTACATGTATATAAACATACACTTTATTATGATGATTTATAATTGCATCGTATTCACAATGAATATGCGCAATAACGTATTGTAATTAGATGTACAAAGTGGTCTATGGAGTAATAACCTAGACTAATCAAATTCTGCGGCTAATTATATGCGGCCCATGTTCATTGATTCCGCGTCGATTATCAGGATCCGTCGTTCGAAGCTTTCGCGCGTCGATTCGGTCGCGTCCAGCCGGATCGGACCGCTTGTTCGCCGATCTCGGTCTGTTTCGATCGACGCGGAATCCCCGTCTCACTCGTTCGCTACATCGAGTTCCGACCGACGATCGACCGTCGGCCATGATGCAGCTGTCAACCCTGCCAATCAGAAACTTTGCCGGGGGAAAGGAAAACGCGAGACGAATGCGACAAACAGTTTCCAGACCGGACACCTTTTGAACTTTACCCGGCGGAAAACTACTGGAAACGGAACTGGGTTTGACGATCCATCGACTCGAAACGATAATTCGATTTCACGCCGGGAAAAGAGAAGCTAAAAAGAGGCTCGAGCCAGTTTGCACCTTCGGTTTTTCTCTCGTTTTTGCTTCTTTCGCAGGGCGTCCTTAATTTCGCGAAGAACCACGAATTCCGTGGTCTCTCTCGATTCGATCAACGTACGTATTTATGATAGGGTAGATGCACCGGTTGCGAGCAATGTACCGTTTCTGGCCATCCGTATTATCTTCAGAAAAATTAATTCACCGAAAAATCATTCAAAGGTTATCAACGTGTGAATCCTTCAAAATATCTTCGAGAGATGTTAACATCCTCTTCCCCCCTCCCTCCAAAAAATGCCATCAAATGCAAAAAATAAGAAAATGTTCAACTTCGGAAGTATATAAAAAGACTCTCCAAAAAACATTTATAATATTATAATGATATTATTAATATAATAATATAATGTTATAATATTAAGGTTTTAAAATATTAAATTTTTCAGGTGACCAGAAATGGTATTAAACATGGCCGGAACTAGTATACAAGTTGGTCAGAAACGGTGAAAAATCCGTATTTTACTATTTTTGTACTGTAAAACCCTAATACAAGTTAGTTATCAAAACTAATCTCTTTTCAAATGAAAGCTATCAAATAATCTGTTAAAGCTTGCACATTTTTTATGTGTCACAAGACCTTAAGAATATTGCGTTGAAATTCATATTGAAATCCTTGTCGTGACCACAACCTGTGCAACTATCCTACGGTAAAGAAACGCGAACAGAAAATGATCCTGAAAAATTGCCGTGTCCGTAGATCCTTGTAAGGTTGGAAAAGTATTACAGTTGCATTTGTTTCATTCTTTTTCTGTCCTTTTTATTCGTGTAAGTTGTACTGTACACAGTAAGCGATGAACAACCTCGTCACCTCGCCTTTAATTCGCTGAGCAATTATTGTAACAATTTCTGTACCGTTTTTCAGGTAGTTAAGCATAGCTATATGTATACTTCTCCGTTACTATCCGTTACCGATAATAAAATAACGTTTACATCGTCGTCTCGTGGAATTAGATAATCCTTAACTACATCGACCTCGTTGCGACACCGTCTCGAACGGAGTGTCGCGGCGGACACATAGAAAACTCAGCCGTCTCGGTTCATTCGTGGGGATTACGATAGAAAATTTCACAGTTCATTGTTACATAGGCGATAATGCTAACGACTTTTTCAGCCGAGTACATTTATAAATAATGTTTTCGTCGTGGGTGTACGAAACGTTGCGTATTCGTGTAACGTAGAATTCGATTAATTTAAGGTGCGCAGATTTATTTATTAAAACAATTTCTTCGTTGATCATTGTTCTCGCGTTAGACGGCAATAAAATTTCTCTCTTATAATTCTAAAAAACACAGTGACCAATGAGAGGCGAGATTGACTGGCGCGAGACGGCCGAGCCAATGAGCGGAACTGAGGCAGCAGCGCTCTCATTGGTCAGTGTTTTTTGTCGATAACTTATGAACAATGTCTCGAAGAAAATTTTTGTAAAGGGAAAAGTTACTTCGAATGACCTCGGGAACCCCTTATTTCCCGGAAGCACCATCATTTTGGAACACCCTGCATACTATCCTTTAATATTACAATCTTAAATTTAGGAATCGAGTGAACATTTTACAGCAAGGCCCACGGTGTACCAATAATCACTTCGAACGTTCGGCAAACATAAACGAAACTGAAATGAACCGAAATTCTTTAGAACTAAACCCGCTAAATAAAAGAGCTAGATTAACCGCAACATCTCGTGCACTCGGGTCTGTTCGAAGCATCGTCGACCATAGCAATAGATAAAAAAATATTTCATCTCGATCGAACGATCGACGTTCAGCACCGTGCGAAGGTGCTTATTCGAAAACGGCTCGGTGGGGCGAATATCCGCACGGCCAATGACACAGTCCCCTATCGTTACCAACTGTACTCTTACGTCGATTCGAACAGTCTCGACGAGCCAAGGAACGATGATGTCTGTCGGTACGTTGGGTGTTGAGAGGTGCGCGGGAGAACATGTACACGTTGCGACGCAAATCTCGCCGATATATTCGCATCGCGTCCCGGTATTTCGCATCCTGGAATCTTATTTGGCGCGTCGATACCGCGGCCAAGTGTGACTATTTTCGAAATTTCTTGGATACGACTGATTCGAGCACGTGACCCGTCGACGCGCGCGAATCGTCGCCAAGACGCTCCGTTCGAAACTGTGACGCGCACACATGCACGCACGCACGCACGCACTCACACGCACATTAGCACACACGCGTATTGTTATTACTTGAATGTTAATCGTAGGAGAGAATTTCAATAAGCATCGCCGAATGTTTCGATGTTTTAACGGTTTTTAGTGTACAGGGTATATACATTGGTCTTCCATTAAGTTTTGACAACGTTTCGGCTTTGCGTTCGATCAAAGCGACGATTTACGAGGACACGCCGACACGGGGTGTGAAGCGACTCTGCCAAAGGGCGGTCGTCTGTTTTGCGTCACTTTCGACCTCGTTCGACCAAGAAACTCCTCCGGTTGCAGTGACCCAATACCCCTCCTCACTCGGAAAGATACACAAAAGAACCAGCCGCGGGTCAAAGTTCGTTTTAATTGAAAACCGTCTCGTGTTGACTGTACCACGGACACACGGAATTTCTTGCGCGAGAGGTCCGACGACGACTTAATTCCTACTCTGTTCGGTGCTTGCTTCCTTCTATTAAATTCTTCTGAAATTAGTATACTCTGATTTAATCAAATATGTAGAGTGCTGTCTCCCATGTCAGAATTGCTAGAAACTAAAGATAGAACAGTTTACTCTTTGATGCTAAATGTAATTCATTATTTTTCCTCTGTTCAGTGGTTGCTCCCCCCTTTTTGCTTAAATTGATATTTTGCTTTAATGAAATGTGCACAATACAGTCTTCCATGCCCGAGCTATTTACAACAAAACATTGCACAATTTGTTCATTGTTCTCTAATAATTGTACCATAAAATTTAATATCAAAATGTAAATTAATGTTAACGATAACAAAAATAACATTAAGAGTAGAATTGAAATAAAAATTAAAATCACAATAAATTACAAAAATATTGTGGTGGATTAAGATAAAAAAGCTGGTCGATCCTTCTAAATATTTATAAAGATGACTCGTATTCCTAAATGCGCATTAACGGCACACCCTTTTTGCAAGTGGAATTAGAAAATTTTGTTGCGACGCAAAGGAAAGCATCGTATTTACATGTGCAAAGTCAGGTTGGCCAGAGAGGCCCCTTTTCGGGCAACAGAACGTTCCGATACGAGAGGCTCCGCGATATTAATTTTACGAGCTCGAAAATCTATAATTTCGCATTGCAAGAACTCGACAAGGGTGAAACAATCGATCCGGTTCTAAGAGTTAGCAGTTAATCGCATCGTGTTACACTAGCTGCGCACGGTAGTCTACTTGCTCTCATAAATTAAAAGCGATTATCCGTTAATAGTGGAACATTGGTTATAAAAGGCCTTCAACGGTCTCCGCTACAAGAGCGATTACCTCGAAGCATGTTAAATTAGTAACTAAATTGCCAAACATAATGGAAGCAATTTCAACTCCGTAATACCAACAGAATTTAGTGTCTGGCCATTGCCTGGCAGATACTAGGTCATTTTGACCCAGTTGTAATCGTATTAATACGTCGCACAGAGATCTAGCAATCCTGTTAGAGAATTTTTCATGAACGCATTCAGCGAAACAATAATTACATTCTCTATTCGTCGTAATTATAATCCGCAGCATATGCTGCGCGATGACGCAGCCGTGTCCTCTGCTGTTACATATTATAATCCGCTTGTCACCAACGTTTTGGACATCGAGTAACGAAGCACGAGCGGTATTACAAGTTCTGCCGATGCTACAAACTATGCCAGAATTTGTTCGAACAAGTTCGAAGGAGAACTCTTCGATGGAATTCATTTTTTTCGTCGCAATCGTGAACAGGTTTTTCCGAACGCCTCGTAAATCGCGCGTTAACCGGCACCATAAACGTCGCCGAACAAAGCTCATCGAAGAATGACGTTATCTACTATACCTTCGTATCATTCCCTTAGCCGAGTTTTCTTATAAAAGCCATACCAAACGGCCAAAATCGGTGGTACGTTCGTTACGCTAAGATTGGCACCGTGTAGTTACGTACGGAGAGATAGAGTGAGAGTGAGAGAGAGAGAGAGAGAGAGAGAGAGAGAGAGAAAGAAAGAGAGAGGGGGGCAGAAAAGGAGGAGGAGAGAAAGAGAGCTACGTGTCCACTGAATCGGGGACAGGAACACGCGAGAAACGATCCGAGTGATCCGAGTCGACCCGCTCGCGTCGTGTGAAAAATAAATTCGAGAGCGGTTCGACGCTCGTTTTCGGCACGCAGTGTCCCGTGCCTCTCAACGATTCCCGCTCCTGCTCGAACAATACCGCGAACCTCGGCCGGAGATCGCGGGAGCTGCCGCGAGGACTTTAGGCTGTCGATAACACGAATCATTGAAAGGCATCGTTCAACACGTGATCGCTAAGCCGCGGACCGACCGATAGTACAGGATTCTCTATTTACATTTCGGCGAGTTACACACTCGCGGTTCGCGTGACTCGATGCGAAAGCGTCTCTGTCTCGTAGGAACGAAGATCGAAAGAAAAATACTCTTCGGAACGGCACACCTCGCTGTAAAGACCGGCGTCTAGTCGCACATCTTCTAGCATTTTTTCGCGCGCATTCCGACTGGACTGATCCGACAAGGAGCGTTGCAGTCTCTTCGATTTTCGAGAAACTTACTTGTCGCGTAGAACTTGAACTATTATTCGTGTTTATAACGCGTTCAGTGGTACGTTGGTTCACTTTTATTGCATTAGGTTGTGCGGTCTTTTTATTTAAAGAAATGTCTTTCTTTATCCTTTGTATAATTTCATTTCCCGGTTTATAAAAATTCACTCTTTTCACCATACGGAAATCTTGGAAGATCATTGGATATAATTTCAGGTAAAAGTGTTATCTGTCGGGCTACCGTCTGCTTTAGACAAACAAATTGAAATTAGTCGCATTTTGGAACGGCTAACTTCGAGAATCGTCGAAAATCGCACGAATTTTCTGGCCAACCTAACGCTTGCTTAAAGTGCAAATGCGTTGAAATACTATCAACTGTAACAAATTTTAATTTCTAGTTTCAATTTCGTAAATTAAATGACTTTGATGCTGTAGCAATTTTGAGAATTGATTTATGGTACTTCGCGTGCCGAATAATTCCCAAGTTCCACATCGCGTATAAATTCGGCAAAAATCAAGCCGACCTGTGCAACCTCCTCGCGGGTTTCGTCTCTACGAAGTCTCTCTCCACAGTGATCTCCATGTATATACGAACGATGATCGCGATTCGAAGAACGACGACGATACAGCTCGTCGAAAATTCCATTATCCCTTCGTTACAAGTCGCTTCGGTAGAAATTGACCGTCGCGTTCGCCCGTTCGGTAGGATCGAGCCCAGCGAACGAGCCTCTGTCGAAACGTCGCTACGATAACACAGTCGCGGGACCCTGGGAACGAGAACGCGGCTCGGCCTCGTTACATCGTTCTTCTAGCCGAATGTACCGAGGGAACGCTACACGGAGGGGGGGGGGGCAAGGGTACCATCGGGACGAGCGGTGTTTCTCTGAAAACGTCGAAAGCACACTCGAAGTACAGCGAATATTTATAGAAACATCTCGACACTACTGATAGTAACTATATTACCAGCGCCGGGTGATCACCTCTCGGGGCACGCGCAACGATCACCGTCGTGCTCGCGCGATGTCCCCTTCGGTCTCCAGTTTCCCTCGACCACGCGGATCACGTGGGAAACCGATCGAAGCGTTTGGTCCTCTCCCGTGAAAACGCGACCGTCCGGGATCCCGGTGACGTAGCCGCGGCACCTTACGGACCTGGAACACCCGACGTCGGGCCCGGACCTCGGATAATTCCCGCGGCGCGCGCGCGGCCGCGTCCCTTCGCCGTTCCGCTCACGTTCCGTCCATCGTTCGCTAAAGAGGTACGTATCGCACGAGTAAACACGGGAACGTCGACAGCTCGAGGCGGATTCGGCTCTTCTCCCGGTCTCCTTTCTCGGCGGCGAGTTCTTCGAGGCGGCAGCTTCGAGTCCGCCGAGGCTCGTTATCCCGTTAGCTGTCTCGTTAAGCCGTCGCTCGAGAGACCGACAGGCGGGTCCGACGAGTTACGAGAAAGTCCGTCGGAGCTAGAGCGTCTCCAAAAGATTCTGAACCATGAGGGCCGGCGCCGTCACGCGTCCCTTTCCCTTTCGCGTCTGTCTACAGGTACGTACGTTACACCGCGGTGCCCGCTCCAGCTGCTCCGACTTGTTGCTGTCCTGCTCGAGATGTACCGACACACTGGCGACACGCGGTGTCGAACAACCACCCTCCTGCAACAGACAATTCGACGTGTTTGAGGGGAGTCACGGCGTTTACCGGCTCGGCGATACCCGTACACGCCCCGACACGCGTTAAGGGGTGTCCCGTTCATGCTGGCTAATCAGCCTCGCGCGAATCGACGCCTCTGTCGTTGCCGCGCGAAAGACTGGCTTCTACGCACAGTCGTTTCTCCGTAATTCGCGTTCGGATCGCGTACAAGAATCGACGATTTGGGAAGAGGCGATACGATTGTTCGAGCCTCGCGGCTCGTTTTTATAGTTACCTATTATCCGCAACTATAAAAATAGCTTATTTAATTATATATTATAATTATATATATACGAGATCCTGTATAATGTATGTACGTATGTATCTACCCTGTATAAAACTTACGTTACCAGTCAAGGCAAAAATTGGCCAATTTCTACCGTTGGCCTTCGTGAACAATGTAGAGAAATTAATACGCTAAAACAATGGCAGAAAGTTAGAATAAGAATCGCACTTTTAGCACTCTCGTATAAGGTTCTATCGGTGCATACGCGTACCACGAAACAAACGGTTTTAATCTCGAAACTACCATTATTTCCAGCTGTCTTATTATACGCGCTGAGAAGGGACATCCGAGTGCAAAAGGGTTAATCTGCGTCGGACCTCGTATTTTCTTAAGTGTAACGTAATTCGTCGAGTGCGGAAAAAGGTCAAAGAGAACTGCAGCGACGAGAAGAAAGGAAACTGGAAGGCCGTGAGAGGGGAATACGGTGGTCGAAAATGTCTGAGTTTTTACGAGTTGAACCTTTAACGACTGGAACGAACCGTGCCGCGGAAACACCGCTTGAATAGGAAACGAGGCTTCGGGAAGGAGACCGAGAGGAGCCGAATCTATTTAATTAGAATTATGGCGATACGACGTGACCGTAGAATCTCAATTAATCTCCGGCGGAGTTTAAGAGGGCACCGGAATGGAAGTACAAGCGGATCGCGCGCCACATCTGGGGCTCCGGCTAATTTGTTCAATTACTTTTATCGCGGTGTTTCCGTTAAATAAAGTATCGAAAGTCGGAATGTGCCGCGCGATCCACGGATATAAGAGAAAATAAATATTCGAGACTGCGGATCAAAGACAAAGGGAACGCGGAACGGAATACGCGTCGGAAACACGATAAAAGTATTAACGTTATTATACTCGGTGCTGCTTCCTCTCGATCGTATGCCACGAAACAAGGCCGATCAATTTCATCGGTGAGCAGATCGTACGGTTGAAGCGACGTGATATTACAAACGACGTTTTTATTGCTCCATAACGACGAGATATGATATTGATCCTCCTATTATATGGTATCGTCGTTATAACGTACCGATCGAACTCGTTCCATTGTGCCGAGCCGCGACTTATTGTTCCTCGCATTGTCAACGGTAAAAGGAATTTCTCTTCTCGCGTTTCCGTGTCGATAGGTTCATTATATTACCGAAACAAGGTCAGCAGGACACGAAGTTGATTCGACGACGAGTTCGCGCAATCTTCGGAAGCGAGCACGGAAACTTGACACTGAACACTCCGCCCTATCGAATTAAACTCGCGGGTGAATATTTCGAACCGAATGCGATCGATAAATTGCAGATTTTAATGAAGCGAGCTACAGTATGTTCTGGTTCAATTTTTTCGGAATGTTCCTGTAGAAACTCAAATTGGAATGCATAATATTTCTGAATTTATCGACTACGATAAAAGAAAGCACTTGACAAATCAATTTGAAATTTGAGCTGTATCTTAAGGGAGTGTCCTCTCTGTTACCATTATACTCGGATAATAGTATTATCCGTAGATAATAATATTTATACGTCAACTGAATTGAAAAAATGTACATAATAAGTAACAAAAGCGTATGAAAGTGTCTGAAATGAGTTATATGTCCTATTTTTTCGAAAGCGTAACAGGGAACTGTAATTTTCCCTAACAGAAACTAAGGAAAACTGTAGCGGCTAATTTGGTAACACGTAACCGCAATAGCTGCGCCACAACAACGAATTTGTTAAATGAATTCTTCTGTTGCATTTATATGGTACAAACTGTTTCGTTCATACACGACAGCCATAATAGTCGCGTTACGAGAACAAATTTTCGTGCGACACGATTTTCCTGCAACACGATATCGTAAAACGCGCGGCGCATTGTCGGATTACACGGGAGTCTACCGTATATAAATTGACCTTTACCTGAAAATAGAGTTACTCACCGACAAGCAAAGGTTGACTTGATGCCGATGCGCTTGACGACGCGACTCGCTCTGCAGCTGCCACGCGCGTATGTAAAGATCGCCGCGATATACGAGTCCGCCCCGTTTCGCTCGCAGCATCAGGTGCCATCTGAAAAATGAGCAAACAATGTCCATTTACTGCCAAATATCCCGGGCATCGATAGATCGGACATTATCTCCGCGCGTTGCGATAACAAACGATGGCCAGGTAATCCTGCGAGAGTGTACGCTCGAAACGAAATGACCATTCCTTATCCCGACGTTATATATCTTCCCATGGCGAAAATATCACCGTCGTGTCCCGCTATCGGGAGTAAGGAAGGAAACACGCGTTTAACGTACGCGCGAAATAAATTGCCAGACGGTCGCCCGAGTCATGCTCGCATTCATCGTGATGGAGTTCCTAGCGGCGTCGCCGCGGAACAGTGTACCCGCCCTCTCTCTCTCTCTCTCTCTCTCTCTCTCTCTCTCTCTCTCTNATGACCATTCCTTATCCCGACGTTATATATCTTCCCATGGCGAAAATATCACCGTCGTGTCCCGCTATCGGGAGTAAGGAAGGAAACACGCGTTTAACGTACGCGCGAAATAAATTGCCAGACGGTCGCCCGAGTCATGCTCGCATTCATCGTGATGGAGTTCCTAGCGGCGTCGCCGCGGAACAGTGTACCCGCCCTCTCTCTCTCTCTCTCTCTCTCTCTCTCTCTCTCTCTCTCTCTCNCCGTGTCGATAGGTTCATTATATTACCGAAACAAGGTCAGCAGGACACGAAGTTGATTCGACGACGAGTTCGCGCAATCTTCGGAAGCGAGCACGGAAACTTGACACTGAACACTCCGCCCTATCGAATTAAACTCGCGGGTGAATATTTCGAACCGAATGCGATCGATAAATTGCAGATTTTAATGAAGCGAGCTACAGTATGTTCTGGTTCAATTTTTTCGGAATGTTCCTGTAGAAACTCAAATTGGAATGCATAATATTTCTGAATTTATCGACTACGATAAAAGAAAGCACTTGACAAATCAATTTGAAATTTGAGCTGTATCTTAAGGGAGTGTCCTCTCTGTTACCATTATACTCGGATAATAGTATTATCCGTAGATAATAATATTTATACGTCAACTGAATTGAAAAAATGTACATAATAAGTAACAAAAGCGTATGAAAGTGTCTGAAATGAGTTATATGTCCTATTTTTTCGAAAGCGTAACAGGGAACTGTAATTTTCCCTAACAGAAACTAAGGAAAACTGTAGCGGCTAATTTGGTAACACGTAACCGCAATAGCTGCGCCACAACAACGAATTTGTTAAATGAATTCTTCTGTTGCATTTATATGGTACAAACTGTTTCGTTCATACACGACAGCCATAATAGTCGCGTTACGAGAACAAATTTTCGTGCGACACGATTTTCCTGCAACACGATATCGTAAAACGCGCGGCGCATTGTCGGATTACACGGGAGTCTACCGTATATAAATTGACCTTTACCTGAAAATAGAGTTACTCACCGACAAGCAAAGGTTGACTTGATGCCGATGCGCTTGACGACGCGACTCGCTCTGCAGCTGCCACGCGCGTATGTAAAGATCGCCGCGATATACGAGTCCGCCCCGTTTCGCTCGCAGCATCAGGTGCCATCTGAAAAATGAGCAAACAATGTCCATTTACTGCCAAATATCCCGGGCATCGATAGATCGGACATTATCTCCGCGCGTTGCGATAACAAACGATGGCCAGGTAATCCTGCGAGAGTGTACGCTCGAAACGAAATGACCATTCCTTATCCCGACGTTATATATCTTCCCATGGCGAAAATATCACCGTCGTGTCCCGCTATCGGGAGTAAGGAAGGAAACACGCGTTTAACGTACGCGCGAAATAAATTGCCAGACGGTCGCCCGAGTCATGCTCGCATTCATCGTGATGGAGTTCCTAGCGGCGTCGCCGCGGAACAGTGTACCCGCCCTCTCTCTCTCTCTCTCTCTCTCTCTCTCTCTCTCTCTCTCTCTCTCCCTCTCTCATATATATACACATACATGCACGCAGACTCTCTCTCGATAAAATAAATTCGTAAATGACATACCCTTTTCACGCGTCACTTCCGCGCGCAGTTCATTTTCCGCGCCTCTCTTTTCGCGGCCGAACGGCGTGTTTACGAGGCGGAAAACAGACCGAATGTCTGGAGTCAATAGTCGAGTTCCGCGGTGGATCTTTCATCGTGTCGTACTTCGCTCGCTATGTACTGGGTGTACCAAAAGTGCTCGAATCGATTGAAACGGATAATTCTTGAGGTGATTCGAAGACACTTTTTCTTCGGCGAAAATGTCCTCCGCGACTATGTTAAAGAGTTATTGGCAGAAAACGCGGACCAATTAGAGAGCGAATCATTTTTAGATAAGTAAAAACATATAAATGGAATTATATTTCAAGCTCTATGAAGTATATGGAACATGCTAGCTTTGCATAAGGTAAAAGACACGTGACGTTCCAAATATTTTTAAATATATATATGTGTGATTCTTAGAGTTAATGGAGAGAGACAATAAATATAAATTTTATAAACGTATGTACATGTAATAATCCTGTATTTGTTACATCAACCATTCGGTTTGAAACATTAATATATAAATACACAATTATCGAATAAAACCTTATTCGTTAATCCTCGTATGTTGTTCGTCGTCCGAATAACATTTTGCCGAACTCTGTTCTGCCGGAACCATTCATTTTGATAAAAGTCACGACTGCGAGATGGGTTTTTTTTACTTTTGCAATAAGAATGTAGCTTTCGCGTGCGCCATGCACTGTACGGAAAATTCTGCGCGACGACGATGTCAAGTATCAAATATACGTAACGCGCTTCGACTTTAACAGGAAGAGAAACGAGGAAAGGGGGTCAGGTCGGGATTAGCATGACAAAAATTTCGGCAGCGAGTAAAGCAGAAAATATGAGCGAACGATCGCATGTGCAGCTCGATACAGCGTGTTTCGCATGAAACCGGCCACCTCGATATCTCCTACACAGTGACGTGACAAAAGATATTGTGTACGAAATTTGATCATGAAACAAATACGATGCAGAAAGTACAGTAAATTCTCCCTAATTCGCGCTCAAATTGCGCAGAAAAATGAACAATTTGGGAAGAGGAAATACGATTGTTCGAGCCTCGCGTCTAGTTTTTATAGTCGTGGGCAATAGGTGACTATAAAAACGAGCCGCAAGACTCCTTTTCCCAAATTTGTCCATTTTTGCGCGCAATCTGAGCGCGAATTAGGGAGAATTTATTGTAGTTTTCAAGGTCACTTTGATCGGACTTTTTGTTGGTCGTTTTATTACATCGTGTAGCTGTCGTTTAAATACATTCAGACATGCGTGATGCCACGTTTAGAGTCGAAGGTGATTTTAGGGACAAGTAATTATACGAAGCAATAAAAAAAGAAATGCACTTACATATATGCAAATCGACATCGGTGATCTCAAAAACTCCGAACAAAGTGACTCGATATTATGATACGTCTCTTGATATTAGTCGAATTCGCTATGGAATATTTTATGTCGCTATTGGGGGAGATATTTTCGCTGGTTTTAAACGAAACACCATACACGGAGGCGAATAGCGGATTCGATTACGCGGCCTGGAAGCGGAGCATAGTTGCTAGCTTGAATCTAGCATAACTGTTCTCGGCTAAATGCAACTGCCTTGATAATGATCGGGATTATTCAGCTGACTGAATGCTGGGGGCAGTGTGGCGGCGGTATGCCGACCGGCTCGCTCGTCCAGAAATGAAAGAGTAACTTTGCGCTGATCGCGTTGAAGCGAAACTGTTGCGATCCAATGCGACTGGCCGGTAGTTCAAACGACCACCTCTCGCGCACGTTCACGCAGGATCAAGCGGCCGTAAATTGAGGATTCTGGACACATGTGCGATACTTGCAAATGATCTCTCATTTATTAAGCAGTCCGTGTCGAGAAATTTCAGAACAATAGGTGCAAGCTTCTCGCGGAGAATCGTCTCATCAACCAACTCCGGTGCCACAGTTCCATCATCGCTAATAGAGGCAGCAACATCGTCGCTGTTCTGATACTGTGCGCGCACAGACAGGTGACAGTAAACTTTGAACTTTATTGCGTTCGTAGTTTAGATTGAGTTTCTATTGCTTTAAAATTATTATCGTGCCAAACGACAGAGAGAACGCGACATAAATTTTTGCTGAGATACGACCATCATCGAATCTAGGTAAAAATATTTCAACTAAGAAATACAAACGTTTGTGCGAGTAATGTCTATCCCAATTGTGTTACGTAATATAAATGAAATACTATTTCAAATAATTATTTCCAGCACACACACACACACACACACATCTTAAGAAAATACTATTTCAATTAATAAATTTTCTTTATCAGAACATACCTAACTATTTTCAATATATGCAGTCATCTCTATAACGTCGAATAAATAATTTCGTTAAGATTTAGAGTAAATTTCATTAATTATTTCCAATACACTAAAATATCTTTACCCAGGTCTGTCTCTTTATTCCCAATAACTTTCGTTCGAAGCATTTCTTCAAATAACATGTAGTCTAGAAGAAAATTGAAGGTGAAAGAACTGGACGACTCAGCCTGCAGAATCGTGCATAATTCTTTCCGCGATCTAATTTAATGCGCAAAGTATGAATACGAGAATTTCTTGAGCGATCTGCAAAGGACAGGCGAATAGAAGGTCATGAAAGTCCGCAAAGCCGGAGTGTCACGTACCAAAAGGACACCCAGCCAGCGCGGTTCTATTGAGAAAGAATTAACCTGGGAGATAGTTAGCTGGGTGCAGCCTTCCGGTAACGACGTTCGCGAACGGCTGGCGAACGAACGGAAGAGGATGGCAAAGAATAAACAGGGAGAGAGGTGGGAGCGCTGCCTTTTATTTCCTTAGGAAGCGACGCACACCCGAGCGTTCACTAGCGCAAGCAATCTTCTATCCTAGAGGAAATTCCAAGGCTGATGGAAATTATCGCAGCCCGCCACCATCCCGGAAGCCATGCGCAAATATTCGCGAGATGCGTTTAGCAAGACGTTCCGCGAAATTTTCCCTGGGGCGGAGTGAATTTTATAACGTTTCCACTTGTCGGCGCGTTCTCGAATCGTACTACTTCGAAATTATTTCAAGTGTTTTCCATATATACCGCGTTCGCTTTTTCGAGATCCTGGAACGTTCTCCGGGAAATGTAACGCGTAATCATTATTTCGGAAGTATTTAATGCAGGAATTCTCCCCGATTAACTTTACACGACGAACGCACAACTAACCGTGTTTTAATGTATTATGGGTATTTAACAGAACATTCTGTAATATCGAAATTTCCCAGCAAGAGGCACACTCGAACAAAACCGTTCGTATCCTTGCAATTTTCTTTCTACACATCTTACGCTTTTAACTCTTTCGAATTAACGTTAATCTCAAAGTTAACGATTGTTGGACTTAATGCGATTATGATTGTATTTAACCCTTTAACCGCGGGCTAGTTTTATTTGTTATGCAGGTGCATCCAACGAATGAAGCGACATTATGCTTTTATTAAATCAAATAATGTCGTAACGACGACAAATGGTATTTTAATTTAAATATATTAAATCGTTGCGTACATTGTATCCGGATTGCAGACTCGGAAAATCATTGAATTATCAACTTTAGATAGAGTTTCACAGAATCGATATTGCAAAAATAGAAACTCGACGAACACAATAGGACAGCTGAAAAGGTTTTCACCCGTGTCCAAATCTGCTTGAAACGGTATGCTCGATTTCTCGCATTGTTAAAGGAGATTGTCCTTTAATTTCGAATATGGCACTCGAATGCCGTGTAACGAATCAAATTGTCCTTCTGTAATAATTTGTCAGTAAAAGCAAAAAAAAAAAAAGAGAACCGAACGAAAAAGTCTTGTCGCAGTGGCAACAATGCTAACAAATCTGCCATGCGAACAATTTCACCGTTCACGAGGAAGGCATCGAATTGTTTTGTCAATCGATGCGCATACTGGTATTTCACGCTTCCCATTCTAGGCCGACAGCAAAATGGATCTCGACCTCTGCGCCTCGTGTTTCCTCCGCCTTTCCATTCTCTCGATCGACCGTTCAAGCTGCCAACTTGAAATTAAACATTGTCAACCGGCAGGGGGATCGGTCGGAGAAAAGAGAGAATGGGAAGGCCGTGTACGGTTCGCGAGCGTTCACGCGAAATAAACTGCGATCGAACGGCAGTCATAACGAAGTGGTAACGCACAGTCGACCTCGGCGATATCGTCTGTTTGCTAGAGCACCGATAGACCGGATGAAACACGGTTCACCGTGAATTATAAAATCGCCATTTACCGATCAAGATAAAAGCCTGTTCGCTTGCTAAACACAGGGTGCACGAGTGACAGAGAACGAGATTCGGAGAGACTGCTATCAACGAAGTGGCTAATTGTGTTTGCTAAATGTTTTCTCTATCGCCGGATCTGTTTAAAAATCCCTACTTTTACGTTATCGTGGAATAATTTCCACTGTTCATCGGCATATCGACTTCCGCGAGGCTTTCGAAGCGATCATGATGTCACTCGACGATTGCTCGCTGACAAATCTTCTTAAAATCGCGAGA